GGCGGAGCGGGCGCGGAGCCGCAGGGCGTGCGTTACGGTCCTCAGCGCTGGTATTTTCATCCCTTCCCGGCCTTGCAAGTCCTTTCTGAACCCCCCCCCCCTTTTTTTTTTTTTTTCTTTTTTCTTTTCCCCATAAATCGCCAGTTTGTGGAGCGATGCTTTTGTAAGGCGACGAGGTGTTCCTTGCCAAGCCTGGCGGTGCAATGAATGGAGGGAGATTTCTTGGAAGTCTGCAGTCCCGGGGCTGCCTCCAAGTTTTGCAAGCCTCCAGGGGTGACATTATTTGTATTCCTGTGGTCCTCGCCGGCAGGAAACTTAGACCAAGAAGAGGAGCCCAGCTCCTTAAGAGCGGGGACATGTCCAGTGCTATGAATGTTTAACCTTTACGTTAAAGGACTGGGGTTTTAAAGGCCAAATACTCACTGTACTTTGCACTCCAAAGCACCAGCGTTCTTGCTGTTGCTGGCTCTGAAATACCCCGGTCTCCTGTGCAACAGTTGAGAGAGGAGACTTTTGCTTGGGGCTGGCTGGGGGAGCAGGTTGGGGATCCAGCTTCCCTGGGCGGCCTGTGTTACATACCTAGTTTGGAACTGGGGTTGTGAATTAGCTGTTTGGCAGCTGGTTTTTGGTGGTCTCGTTAGATCGTTTAACAAGGTGTTGCCTTTTCAGAATTGAGAAAGAAGTTGTACCTGAAGAGAAGGCCAGGAAGGGAGCTGGTTGGTTGCAGGTCAGGATGGAGGTGTTTTACCACAGTGTCCTGGGATTTGCTATTTTCACATGAGATCTCCATCGTGTTGGAAACTCTCTATAAAGTGAAAGCTCTCTATAAAGTGAAACTCTCTAAAAAATCAGGCTGTGAGTATCCATTGAGTAGAAGTCTTTGGTGAAGGATCCTTTCTTCTAATAAAATGGAATTCCTTCTGAAAGTAGCACCAGTAGCAATCAGTGCTTCTGTTACCAGTTTACTTGGCGTTGTGCATTGGAAACCCATTTGTATATAGCAACGTTCTCTCTTCTCCTGGGTAATTATTTGTTTA